GAGGTCTTATGCACCAGGGAGGCACTCCCAGAGCTTCCCAGTTACAACAAGGGGAAAAATTTCCTACACCTCCTTGAAGAGTGCAGAATAATTCCTTGCACAACCAGTCATCTCTGCTGGCTGGTACGAAAGGGAGGACAGAGCCAGGATTCCAACTATGCCCCCACCATCCTCTTGTTCAGCCAGTTGGTCCCAAGGGGGCAATTGAGAAGCATTCCTGATCACAGATGTTATACACTCCTTATGCCTTCCTTTCCCATTGTGAGCTTTACCCACGATCTAGGTTAAAAAAATATGCCTCTTACACTGCTAAAGTCTGACTGGTATGCATCTTACATTGTTTGCACAGCTCTCCCTGTAGGTTCTGGGGGAGGTGGCTGTGACAAGAAAGCCTTGGTTGCCTTCTCTTCAAGGGAAAAGCGAAGGAGTAAAGAATTTAGCAAAGATTTTCAAAAGCAGCTAGTGATTTAGTTGCCCTTTGGGACACCTTAGAGAGGCCTGATTTTCAGAACATGGGTGCTCAGCTTTCTGAAAGCGAGGTCCCTTCACGGTGTCTCAAGGTGGACCCCCAAAAATGGAGGCATCAAAATAACTGGTCACTGTTAAAGTCTTGGCCTTTGTTTATTCTCCTTTTCTCCCATTTTCACTCAAGAGAAGACCGGCTGGATAGAGGGAGCACAGTCCATTCTACCAGTTGCCACTTCTTTTCCCTGCTCTCTCTAGCACAGGGATGCAGGAGAGGCACACCTGAGAATTTAAACAGGTTTGTAACTCTAAGACATTCAGCAAATGTTGAAACAGCAGTATCTTGGGGGTTTGATATAATTCAAAGGAAAGGGATTTACACGCAGAAAATAAGTGATCAAAATACTGTAATGTACAGCATATCCTGGCACCACTCCCCAAAGAGGCTATGAATAGCCAGGGACGGCGTAATCAGGAACCAGCACAGGGTATTGCTTCGATGCTTTACTGGTGCAAGAGTGCTCACAAACATTATCTATTAGCTTTAGACATCATTAGTTCTCCTGTAGAAATACATTTTGAATCTATGGCGCCTACCTTTCTAAGACATCTGACAATTACAGCTGAAACCCAGTGTACCTGTAGTGACTGTCCAAAAGAATAGAGACACAGATATATCATGTATTTATGCCTACTAGGATGAGAACACTAGATAGTGATAATTGCTAATATCATATACTCACAATCTCCTTGTGTACTTTGATTTATATAGCAGGCTATGCATTAAGCACCTTACCATTTGCCTTGTATTTACTTCATTATCAGAATAAAAAATAAAATGTAAAATTCTATATAATATAAATAGAATGCTGTTTGCCCTGTGTCAGGTCTGGCAATTTATTTTAAGACATTTAAGCTTCAATCCTGACCCTCCTCCCCCGAAATAAATGGTCATTTTGCGGTTGACTTTATTAGGGTCAGTGTTTCACCTTTGGTCTCTTGATAGGTTCTACGGATATACTATTCTAAATGGAAAACTTAAAGCTATTATCATGACAGCTGTTTTATGTTTAATCACTGGCACCTTAGTTAATCACCCTGCATCTTAATGAAAGCATTCACCCATCAGTTGGATATTCTCTAACACCTGTGGGGGGAGGTGGGGGTTTCCACAGGACCTTCACAAAAATTTTAAGGGTTTTCATTCTATTGTTTTTTAAAGCAGATTTGATATTTCTTTTCCTAGATTCCCTTAATCAAAAGGTTTTTATTTTCATTACTTTTCCAAAATGGAAAAACTTTCACATTTTGGAATACAGATTCGGGGGGGGAGGTGGGAGGGGAAGATCAGGTGGAGGTAAGAGATCTGAGGAGGTTCTAAAATGACAAGTTTTGAGTTGAAAATATCCTTCCATGTGACCAAAGATGGCAGTGCAAAATCCAAACCCAGAAAATACCCCATCAATTGGCAGTCTTCATTTTTTGCCAACAGTTTCCATAGGAAACTATCAAAAGTTTTTTTAAAAATCTTAAAAAAGTCTTTAAAATTAGAAAAAATTTGACCAGCCCTATCAGTATCTGTTTTTTTAAACTGTAGAATTGCATATTTTAACACATTTATTTTGCATGTTTGCTTAGTATCTTTTATTTTGCACTTTTTATATGTTTAGATAAGTTGTATCATCTTCTTTAAAAAAAGATTATGGTAATTCGTCTGACAAAACCAACCAGTGGGAATGCAAGTATGTTAAAGGTTAAATTCTGCCTTCTGATGGATAGATCTGAGAAGCTTTTAAGGAAGTCAGTGGGAAATGTGCATGCATATCTTTGGGCAGAATTTGGCCATTACAGTTTAACTCCATGCTACAGTCTCTTAGGCCAATTTCAAAGTTGGGGGCCTAAAGTGAGACATCGCTAAAATAAAGAGCAGCCTGGTTTTACAACAAACATTGAGCACCAGCAGTTCCAACTGCAGAAAAATCAGGCTACTTTTACTTCAGTGCCTAATTTTAAGCATTCAACTTTGAAAATGTGTCCATTGCCTCAAACTTAGCAAGTTGTCACCAATAATGTACGTTCTAGTTCTCTGTGATGAGCCATAAGAAACAATGTCAATGCAACTCCCAAATGCTGCAAAGTACCCCTGTAAAATCAGATGTCCAGCAGGATTAACTGTGCTTTTCATATGGCTGGACTTGGCAGCTTTTGTGACAAGAGCATCTTCATCTTATGTATCAGACAATGTGCTGTTCCTCACAGGGAACACACTGGTTTATCTTGCTTTATTATATATGGGAGTGAATTTTTACACAAAATGTCCCCCCATTTTTATAATAATTTCACTAACAATAACGGTGACCTAAATAAATGTATAATTCTAATTTACAGTGTTGCCTTGTTTAAGCTCTATTTGTTTCAGAAATCTCAGGCTCTTGTCTGCTTTGGATAAACGTGTAAGTAAGTTCCTAATTAATTAATAGACTGTACTCTTGAGTTCTTTGATCAGAGTGAATCTTTGATCAGAGAATCTATGGTTGAGGGAAAATTTCTATGCCTCTGTTTGTAATATATTGCTAAATTTCCACTTTACTTGTATCATAATGTCCTTAATGCATGTGATTCTTAAACTCTCAAATGTGTGCTAAAAGCTTTGTATTGTGAAATGAGTTATTTGAATACACTTTCTGCTAACAATGGCATATTCACAATACACTTAGGACAGAGTGTCTGGTAGGTTAACCCACTACATGGTTCATTTGATATACAGTTGACTCCTAGACAGGCTGGAACAAATTCAGACCCACTGTCAGGAGTGCACCTCTATTGGCTTCAACAGAGTTGCAGCAAGCTGAATTTAACCGTAAGGAAGCCTGCTGGCGGGTATGAGCAGGATTAAAGAAAAAACCCAGCTCCAACAGATATCAGGAAAATGATAATAAAACTTTACATTTTTCTGTTTGAACACACAGCCAAGGTAAAACCTTACAATAGAAGTGAAGAATTAGAGAGGATAAGACTATAGTAGAATTAATCTTTATTTCATTAAGGGATCTTCTAATTGAAAAGGAATGGAAACCAAACCACGCGCAGAATACACCAAAGGACCAAGAGAAAGAAATTAGCCAATCTCCAAAAGCCTTTTTCTCAAATTTACAAGAGGAATCCCAGTGCGAGGAAAGCTGCTTACATCACAATACTGTGAACAAGTGGGCCGTGAGACACATCTGGAAATGACAGGCCGCCTGAAGTTCAGTTGTGGGGGGAAAGTCTTTATAAATATTTTAAGAGATCTACTCTGGGGAAAGACCAGGAAAGTCAGCTCAATTAAAACAATCAACAAGTCTACAGCAGTCTCGCAATCTTGCAAGTATGAGATACTGTTTCAAGGTATTACTGCAAGGCTCAGTAAGTGGGTTGATATTTTCTTCTTATGCTTTGATTGTTCAAGAGCAGAAGGCCAAGTTTACACTGAAAATGAACAAATACCTTATAAAATTGTAGGGCAGGAAAGGAAGCAAACCTTACCAAATATAAACTGCCTAATGGAGGTAATTAAGGGTAGTTATAAATACAATGTCAAGCTAAGAGGATGATGTTAAAGGGACACTGTCAAGATTGACAGACCTGCAATTAGACTTACTGGCATGTAGGCAATCTGTACCTCACACAGTCCTTTTGGTGCTATCTACCAATTCACAAAAAAGAAACTGACTGGCAGAGCCAAGGTAACAGCATGACACAAATATACAGGCCAAAATAAACCCCACACTCCATGTTGGCTCATCTTGAAGACTAGTTGAGATTTTATGCATGCACACTGCAGTTTGGAGGGGACGGTAGTGTTTTCACTATCAAGGGAACTTTATTTTAATAATTGGGATAGGGAATTATATTTCCTGGATACATTATATTTAAAGAAATGCTTATTATGGGCTGCTACGATAAAAGTGTCCTTTTACAAATAACATATCTCGGAAATATAAAACCCCTCCAATATACCACAATGTATGGCTGTATGCTCTCTTGAAAATTGTTGCTGGATCATATTATGACAACACTGAAGAGCTTGCTACTAAAAATGGTTGCAAATTTTAATTAAAAATATTTTGGGTCCCCCCAAATTAAAAATCTGAAATTCAGAAAATGTTAACCAGCTCTAGCTGAAACAGTGCAGTATGATACTAAGTGGCAAATAGAGTTGAAGCATTTTAGTGTTATTAAATAATGGATTTTAAATTATGGTACTAAAGGGGGAAATATTTTGCAGATGATATCATAAGAAACAAAAAAATAAGGTACAAAAAGGTACTGTATAAATCCTTAAAAAAAAAGAAGTCAAAGCATGTATTAGAAAGTGACAGAGGGGGCAGAGAACAACAAGATCTTCTAAACTGAAAGGTTCTGCACCATCCAAGAAGTGATAAAGACAATGTACACGGTACACCAAGAAGGAATCTCTGCCCGAGTGATCAGTATATATAGATTCTGAGTACTACCATGAAAGAGGTTTTATTTGTTTTGGTTTTTTTGGTTAGGAAAGGACCAAAACATGGGACCCGGAACCTCCATGGCACACTGACGTTGAGAACTCCATGATCCAGCAAGGCTCCGTGGTCTTCTCATTCCCAGAGAGAGAACACCTCACTGCATGATCACCAAGGTTAGATTCGGCGGCAACCTCTTCCATGCTGCCTTAGTCTCTGGAGCGTAAGCTTTCATTTTAAACAGAAAGTCAGTCTCGAGCTGTTATGGTGGGTGAGAGGTTCAAAAACAGTGAGCTGAGTGTAACTGGTACAGTGATGTCTGCCTGTGTTCGCAGAACCTGAAACAATCCTTGAGAGGTGTGACCTGCTCCCTGCATCTCCCTGGGCACTAACTCAAGATACCCAATGACAACCACTGTGGCTTTTAAAGTATTATCTGTTTCTCTGATCATAAAGACGTGTAAGAAAAGGAATGGGAACAATCATACTGTGAACAGCTACACAAGCTATCGTAAGGGATGGCTCATTCTGGCAGCACCAGTCAGTAGGCTTGGGAGAGTATTGCCACTTTCCCCCAGTTCCCAGTCAAGAAGGACTCAAACCGAAGGAACCTAACAGAGCCCCCTCGCCCCAAAGGGGAACCAAGCTCAAGAAGCTCATTGGAACATGCCAGCCTCACTGAGGGGAAGAGGAGCACGAGGAGCTCAGTACAGCCCACATGTGCATTCAGACCCTGCTGAGGAGAAGAGAAGTTCAATCAACGCAGATCGCACACGTGGTCATGTTTTGAACATCTGTGCAATCTACTGTGAGTAACATCTCACGTGGGCAGAGCTTATTTTGTGGGCGGAGCTTGGAGGAGCACTTTCCCTCCCCGTCACATCTGACCCCTAGATACTGCTTACACAATTGCCCAACTTTTCCCCTCCTGTGGGAGCAAGTTTTCATTCCTTCCCAGCTGGGGACTGTGGGCTTCTGAGAAGTTCTGAACATACAAAGTAAGAACTTCAGGTCTGGGGGGAAAGGAAGGGATAGTGGTTTTCCCTGTCTGACTGACAGCTAGCTAGAGGAATCTTAAGTTAAGCAACCCCATCACCACCATCTGGCAGTCGGAACGGAGACAGGCTGCAGTATACTACCCCCAGGTGTCCCTCACTGCCTCCAAATGAAGCAACCAATTTTCCAGTTTATTTAAAACAGAGGGACCCCAGTCTCTATCCCCATTTCCCCTCCTCTGGCAGCAGCTGCATGGAGTGGAGTTTACTGCACTCCTAAGCTTGCAACAACCTGAGCTAGCACAGGACTTGTATGGATCATGCCTAGCATCCTAGGAGGGCTGCTTGGGGAATGCAATGCTGAGCCTGTTTCCATAAGCTCACCAGATGCAGCTGCTCCACATCTTGCTCCTTTATCATCAAGTATGCATTGGCTCTGACCCTCCTCAGATTCAGTCAGACTGGTGTGCAAATAGTTTACAATACAATGAGGTGCTGCTGAGCTCTGTGTAAATCAGCCTGTGATGCTGGCTAAGAGGTAAGGTGCTGTTCAACTTGGTAGAAACCAGCTGGGATTAGGTATAAAGCTGCTATCTTTTGGAGAGAAGCTGCCAACCCACAATGAACAATTTAACTCTGTGACGACTTGCTGTGCAGCAGTGTTTGTTTTCTGCCTGTCAAAGATTTTACCGACCTTGGTTTTTCCATTTCCATAAACAGTACCACTCATGGCTTGGTTAATTACAAGCACAGATTTATGCCTTGTTATTGGGGTATGGGTGCATAGACAATTGGGGGAGGATGGAAAACTGAAAGATGGTGGGGAGAAAAGTTAGAGCATTGAAAGGGAACAAGTTTTCCCTACCCTTTAATAAGAAAACTGTGGTATCAAAATGAAAATAAGAATCTCTTGAAGTTTTCAGGAGGGTCAACTTGAGATCACCACTATCCTCCCATTCCGTCCATGAACATGTATTCCACAGCTAGACATGCCAACAACCGGTGGTTTAGAGCAGTGGGTCTCATCCTTTCCATACTGTACCACCACACAACTTACAACTGGAAAATGTCTGGGCCCCCCACCTTCCTCTAAACATTAAGAAAAAGTGAAGTCCCAACCCCTTGAAACCTGTTCTCTACCCCGCCCCCCACCCAGGTTGAGAAGCCCTGGATTAGACAGCTCACTAATATCAAAAAGCTGTTTCTCTGATACATCTGAAAAACCAAAGCCTTTTTTAAAATCTCCAGCCTGTGCTCCACCTCAATGTTTCCAGCCTTATTTGAAAAAAAGTTGCTATTTGCTCCTCTATGTCTTGGGCCCTCAAGCATTTGTAAAAAGTTAAAGAGAAAAAAACTCTAACGGACAAGACTGCACAATAATTATTTTCAGATGGACCAACCACATTGGCTTGAAAATTGAGTGCAACTCTTGGTTATGTAAAAACATATCCTATCAAACCAATTATTTTGAAATTGCATTAATCACATTCAGGAGAGGATTTAAAAATCACAGCCATTTGTACAACATAGCCATCACTGGGAAAAGAAACAAAACCCCAAAAGTTCAAACAAAAGTTTTGTAAGCTGTGTGGGATATTCAATTTATGTGAGTGAGCATTTCTAGTTACATGAAATATCCCACAAGATCTTCTCACATTATGTAGAGCGCATTGCTGCTTCCGCTGAAGTCAATAGGAATTTTGCCATTGACTTTAATGAGAGCAGGATCAGGCTTCTAAAGAGCAAAGTATTTTGCAACATTTCTTTTAAAAAAAATGCATGGCCAAGTTCTGTTGTCAAATATGCATGAACACCTGTTCTTGTTGTCATCAGGGCACACTGTGTATATGTAACCGAGGAAAGATTTCAGTGACACATTATTTTATTTTTCATCTATCTTAGTCAAAAGTGCTTTTTTCAAAGGTCAATGGAAGAAGCTATAGCTATCTGGAATAGATTTCTAAGCAACCATGGACATCTGCTGTACCTTCCGTATGGAAGTCTAGGAGCATGTCGCCAGGATCTTGTGTTACAGCTGATCTCTTGTAGACCACGTGAATTCTTCCTCTCTCTTCTTCCATTTGTTTGCCTCTTTCCAAAGGTTCAATGAAATATTCATCCTTATCAGTTCTTATCATTCCAGCCTGGTGAGGAGGGAGGAGAGGAAGAGCACAAAGTATGTCAAAAATCCATTTTCCTGACTCGATACATTGATAAGCGTCTACTGACATTTTAAAGATGTGTGAAGAGTACAACTGCCAGCAACTGAACATAACACAGACAGATTACTGCACCGTAAAATAAAATCATTGTTGGGTTTGTTTTTATTTGGGCTTTACACTGGATCCAGAATATTTCTAGCTACTGAGTATTTTGACCTGTGCATAGACAAGCTCTCAAACACACACACACACACACACACACACACACACACACACACACACACACACACACACACACACACACACACACACACACACACACACACACCACAACAAAATACATGCTTAAGGCACAAGTTTTACAGGAATTCTAGCATTTGTATGCAATGAGTAAGACTGATATTTTAATTAGCTATTAATACAGATATTTATGACTTGATGAATGCAGTGCCAAGTGTCTTCAATTCGTCTGTGCTCAGCATCCCACAGGAAGTGCTCAACACCTTACAGGATTGGGCCTTAATTTTACTGGACTACAGTCACCTGGACACTCCCCCTAAACAACTGCATGCCATTCAACCTCCTAATTATTGATTCCTGTGGATGAACAGGACATTCAAACCCCTCCTCTCTGTACCTTTCTCTTGGAAGGGCTGTGAACTGGACTTACAGATGTAAGGCTTAACTCTGCTTTCACTGACACTAGTATTAACTGGGACTAAACTCACTGGAATCATTTACATCAGAATAAACCAGGCGGGCAGGAGTGAAAGGAGAATCAGGTTCATGATCACGTAGTAAAAAGTCATCTTCTGATAACTTGAATGTAAATCACAGCAACCAATGGTGAGAGAAGTAAGCAGCGTAATCAAGGGGAAGACCGTCTTTAAACAATCCTCTTAGGGGGAAAAAAAAAAGCCTTGAGCTTTCAAACTTCCTTTAGCTCAGAGAGCAGCAGCCTATATTCTGTTTGGCAGAGTGACTGGGCACAGTGAACATGTGGAAAAAACGCATATGCAGACTATGTGTTTTTTCACTGGTATCGCCAATGGGATATTATATTTTGAGCAATCTGCCACCTACTTTCAAAGGCATAATAAAAACCATCAACGCCTATATAAAAACGTATGTACCAGGCAAGAAGGTGACTATAAACCATCATTATGCAACCAATCTTTCTTCAATGTTGTTCAATATTCTCTCCCCTATGGTACGATTTAGTCACTTTGCATCCAAGTATTTGAGTTACACAGAGACATCCCAATGTGGGAATACTGGGCAGGCCGTGCACACACACCCCTCACCCCCGCCAAGTGCAGAGGGGCTCTCTGCTCCTGGATCACAGTGCTTCCTTGGGGAGTGAGGGGCAGAGGACAAACCAGCCACCTCAGCAGCACCATCTCCCCTCCCAGCTGAACTCAGCACAGCCCTCTCCCCATGTGGGTTGGGGTGGGGGGGGATGGGCTCCAGATGAGGCAGGGTTCAGGTGGTAGGATGAGAGGGTTAGGAAAAGAATACAGGGAATACAGCCCCAAGTACAACCTTTTCTGCACAACCTGCCCAGCGTCCCTGGGAGCTGCTGGGGCTGGTATGTGTATGACAGGCAAACCCCTCGCTGCATTTCTGAGAGCTCCCCTCTACAAGTAAAGCCTAATACTAGGCGTGCACAGAAATGTACAGATAAGTACAGAAGCAATCAAGCACCTGAGCAGAATCTCTTACATTAATTCCCAATCAGTCAACATGGTGCAGCCTTCTGCATCAACTCCAGATACCAGATTCGGATGAAAAGTAAGCCAGTATATAATTTGTTAGTCTCTAAGGTGCCACAAGTACTCCTGTTCTTTTTACGGATACAGACTAACACGGCTGCTACTCTGAAACCAGTATATAATGTGTAACATTGATGTGATCCAACCATAAAGTCACAAAGTTATGCATTACAGGTGTCACATCAGCGTGCAAGAGCAAAGGCACTGTGGCATTCTTAATATGGCAGAAATAAGCTTTGACTGAGGCCAACACTCGAGTATGGCTCCCCCCTAGAAAACGAAATATAGTGCGACGAAGCCTTTCGCCAATAAGACGACATTTCAAACTCTCACGCTGACTAACATGCATTTATTTCAATGCATTATCTTTAGAGAGTGGCATATTGATTATTCTTCTCCTCTCTTTTCAGAAACCAAAGAAATTCAGTGCAAAAGAGCTTTTCGATGTAACATTCTGGCAGAGGATTTAAATGCATGTAAGCCATGAATTTCAAAGTTATGGCCCTGCCTGTAACCACACTGAACATATACTGTATGGAATAAGATGAGATTTAGGGGCAGACTTTCAAAAGTGCTCAACACCCACAACTGGGTCCAGATACTCACAAGATGCTGGCGCATTGAATGGGAGCTGAACTCATAATCTGGGCTGAGAGCCTAACCCCCTGGTCCAAGTCGGGCAAAAGGGCCAGAGCAGCATCAAGAGGCTACAAAAGCCCTAGTTCTCACCAGGGATCTGCTTACAAGGCCTGGTGTGAGAAGTGTGTCGGGACTGGTAGGTGCATTGAAGATTCCGGATCCCTTTAAGTTAGACAGGCCCCAGGGAGTTACATCAGGTGCCTCTTCAGCCGCCGGAGCAGCACGAGATCGGGAAGGCTCAAAGGCAGCCCCTCCCCATCAGTAATTTTGCAGACATGCATGGGGACAGAGTTCCAACGTAAACCAAAGCTTTGCATTTCAATTCTGAATCATAACGACACTATGGGTTTTTGTACGAAATAGAAAAATTCTTTCAGCTCAGTCTCAATAGGTCAGATGTAAATGAACTGTGAAGGTTTAAAATGCAAAAGTTACAAATTTAAGAAGTCATCAAAAAAATTCCCTCAAAGTGCATGAACACTATCACCTACCACTGCTTTTTTCCTTAGAATTTGAAGAATGGGAGGTGTACTGAAAAGTAGCATTCTTATATCCATAAGAATGTATAGCATGCTGGATCTCCTACTTGGTTTTCGCTGCTGTACCTTGAAATCAGTGGATTTGCCTTTAAACAGAAATACGTACTGTCTAGGGTCACCAACCCTCCAGGATTGTCCTGGAGTCTCCAGAAATTAAAGATTAATCTTTAATTAAAGATTATGTCATGTGATGAAACCTCCAGGAATACGTCCAATCAAAATTGGCAACCCTTGTGTCCAGTAGTATCAGGATTGGACCCTACGTTATAAATTACTGGAGAGAAATGTCTAAAGGAAATGAAAGGCGATATCAATTGCAATCATCAATAAAACTTATCTGAAATATCTATGATTTCCAATAGCATTCATACTGAGCAACAAAGTCATTGTGATTTTATTATTCTTATAGATAGTTTTAGTTTCCAAAATGCTTTACTGCATGAAGAATATTTACTTCAGTGCATAAGGGTCAGGAGCCAAACCACATATTTTGCCTACATCATTCTTTCGGGGGGGGGGGGGAGGGGGGAGGAGGGTGGAACAAGTTTGTAC